CCACCTCCTCCACCTCCTCCTCCTCCACTTCCACCACCTCCTCCACCTCCTCCACTTTCACCACCACCACCTCCACCTCCACCACGGGAACTCATCCTCCACGCCCTGCTCCCCTGCCTCCTATCCCCGGGAACACTGGTTTCTGTATCATCGGGTATTTCACGTGAGTGAGGTCATACAGCGGCTGTCCCGTTGTGAGGGACTTACAGCAGGACTTCATTGCTTCCTGTGGCCGAGTGGAATCCTGATTTAGCCCCCCCCACACCACCACCGCCCTCCCTCCCAGTTGGGCTGACGCAGAGGTTTCTGTTTGCGCCTTCACCTCCGGGTGTGTACTTTTGGTCGGGACTGCTGGGTCGCGCCCCACTTTCTGAGGAACTCTCTGTAGGTGGGTGCTGTACCTGTTTCGTCACTGATCATGCCTTCAGATAAGGACAGGGAGCTGTGGGCGGACAGCCCCATACCTGGGCAGTGGAAGCCCATGGGGCACGTGGAGGTTGGCCTGGCCTCTCCCAAGGCTGCTCCGGCCCCACAGCACATTTCTCTTCCTCTGTGCAGTGACCCCACGGCGGCCTCCTGCTCTGTAGACAAGGCCAGACCTGAGGCCGTCCCCAAGACCCCCCACACTGCCCCTGCTGTCACGAGAGAAAAGATCCGCTCACGGTTCCACAGCAGCCATGACCTGATCCACCGCCTCTTCGTCTGCATATCAGGTGGGGGCTGGGGGCCGCTGGCAGGGTGGGATGGCCACCCTAGTGCCCAACAGTGGATGGGGAGCGCTCTGCCTGCCTGGCTTGAGTTCGTTCCCATGGCCTCCTGCAGGGACAGGGCCCCACTCCTGTAAACAGACCACGTGCTGGGCTGCTGATCAGAAGGTAGGTGGTTTGAGCCCACCCTGAGGTGCCCTGGAAGAAAGGTGCTGCCTCCCAGAAACCAGCCTCTGCAGCCTGTGGGACCCAGTCCTGCTTGGCCAGCCCCGACTGCCAGGGTGGCCAAGACGCCACGCAGTGGGTACAGACAAGGGCTTAGTTCTCAAGGACCATACACCAGTGCATGGTCAGTCTGGTGTGTGGCATATAGTATGTGGTGCATGTACATCTATGTGGTCACACTGTGTTTAGTATGTTTGGTATGCGTTTTGGTGTGTGATGTGTGGTGTATGATGTATGTTGTATGCTTGGTGTATATGTCTGTGGTTAGTATGTGATAAGTATGGGGGTATGGTGTGTATATTGCATGTGTGATATGTGTTATGTCTGTGTGGCATGTGCAGTGTGTGTGTTGTATGACTGAGGTGTATGTTATACATGGTCGGTGTGTAGTTGACATAGCGTATGTGTGTTTGGCATGTGCTGTGTGTGGTATGCATATTATCTATGTGTGGTTAGCATGTAGTATATGTAATAGCTGACATGCAGTCATATGTCACACATGACATGGCCTGCCCAGCCTGTACCCCACCTCTAGGGAGCAGGAGGTCTGGCCAGGGCTGTTGTCCTGGTCCTCCCTCAGGCTGGCTGATTGCAGCAGGCAGCAGCGAGGGTCAGTGGCCCCAGAGCGAGGCCAGGTGTGCTGAGACCCTGAGCTTCTGCAGCCGGCAGCTGCCCACTGTCAGAACCGCCCTGCTCATGCCGAGTTCTCCCTTCCCATGACCTGACCACCCCCAGCTCAGCCTGGCCTGCAGGACTGAGCCAGAGGAAGCGCTGCCCTGGGCTGGGGGCACTGCATTTGGCCGTGGGCGGGGCTCTCCCCACTGTGCTGTCAATGCTAGCAGCCGGCAGCTTCCGTACACGTGCAGAACCCACCTGGTCTGAGGAGGGTGAGGGCAGGAAGGCCCTGCGGGTTAGGGCAGAGCATTTTCCTGCGAGGAGCCAGTGGAGTGACGGAATGGGGTGAGCAGAGGAGCCAGCTGCTGCCACTGCCGGTGGACAGGTGCCACCTGAAGTCTTCTGCTGCAGGGATTGTCTCTTTGGGGGCCAAGCAGCACCTTCTCCCCGAGTGGGCTTAGGGTGTGTGGGGTCCTCGCTGAGTGGTCTGAGGATGTGTGGAGCATCCCCCGAGTGGTCTGAGGTCCTGTGGGTTCCTCCCTGGGTGGTCAGAGGGCATGGGGGCCTGAGCGTGGAGCCAGGGTTCAGCGAGACTACAGAGTCTGCCTGCCCGGCACAGGACCTTTTGACCTGCTGTTCTCACCTGCCCAGGCGTGGCCGACCAGCTGCAGACGAACTACGCCAGTGACCTCAGAAGCATCCTCAAAACGCTGTTTGAGGTCATGGCTACCAAGCCCGAGACGGACGACAAAGAAAAGCTGAAGAAGGGTGAGCACCGGTCCACTCAGGCCGGCTTCATGTGGCCACCCTGCCCCTGTCCCCAGGAAAGCGCCCACTCAGGCCAGATCTGATTGACCATCCTGCCCACTGTCCCCAGGAAGAGGGGCCAGGGACCCGCCTCTCTCAGCCACCCCAGCTGGGTTTTCTGTGACCCGCATGTCCCCAGTGGAAACAGCTCAGCAGTGCCAGGCAATCTGCTGGGGGCCATCGGTTATAACTGCCAGAGAAGGAGGGTCATGGTGGGTGGGTGAGAAACAGCCTCAAACCCTGGTCGTAAGGTCGGCAGGCCCCCAGGGCAGTGGACAAAAGCTACAGAGTTGCCCTCTGAGTGCAGGGGCAGGGGTGGTAGTGGTGGATGTGATTTGGGGACCCTGGAGACCTCGGCTCTAGAGTGTGTGCATGCCCAAACCTCTCTGCCCCCCAGGGCATTGCCATCCTGGGACTGATGACTACACTTCTTATGATTGGTGTCTCTCTCTCTCAGTCACCCAGACACTTCGGCGGGCGGCCCTAGAGGACTGTGCCCTGTGCCAGGAGACCCTGTCATCCTCCGACCTCACAGCCAAAGCCCGCGATGGTGACTTCGAAGGTACAGGAAGTCGGGCCAGCCCGGGGTTGCTGCTTCTAGATGCTTCCACCCTTCTGCCCTGGGGTCTGAGCCCCAGTGGTGTCATGATTATGAGTAGCTAGGCTGCTAACTGCAAGGTCAGCAGTTTGAACCCACCAGCCCACTCCGTGGGAGAAAGAGGAGGCTTTCCACTCCTGTAAAAAGTTCTAGTCTTGGAAACCCACCAGGGCATTCCTGCTCGGTCCCCTAGGCCTCCATGAAGTGGAATCGCCCAGATGGCAGTGACTCTCACTGCGTGCGCCCTGGGCCCAGGGAGCGCTTTGCCAGGGAGGTCTGGGCACCGGACATAGGACACCACCAGGTGTTCTGGGCAGGGGCAGCTGAAGCCCAGCAGAACGTGCCCACCACTCGGCGGGGGCTTGTTTCCACGGTTCTTAGCACCATCTTGACGTGGATCCCACGAGACTGGGGACTGGTGGGAGAGCCTCGGACCTCAGCCACCCCAGGGTGGCTCAGTCAGGGTTCTCCAGGACATCGCCAAAGGGGCTTCCAAACATTGTGGGCAGGAAGAGAAAAAATGACCATTTTGAAGCCCCCTTGTATACATAGTGAGTGAGAGAGAGACGAGACAGACACACACACACACCACACTCATGGAGCCCTGGTGGCTCTGTGGTTAAGCACTTGGCCGTGCATCTAAAGGCTGGCAGTTTGAACCTGCCAGCTGCTCTACCAGAGAGAGATGAGGCAGTCTGCCTCCCTAAAGATTGACCCCCCTTGGAAGCCCTCTGGGGCAGTTCTGTGTCCTGTGCGGTGGCTGCTTGTTGCAGTTGATGCGACAGAGACTGGTTGGTTGGTTTGTTTACTGTGTTGTGCCTGCATGAGGTCCTGCTGGCCTGTTCTGACTCACAGAAATCCCAGGCACAGCAGAACAGAACACGACCGGTCCTCCGCCATCCGCACACCTTGTTCTGACGCCGGGCCGTGGTCACAGCCACTACGCCAGTCCGTCTTCCTGTTTTCGCCGACCCTCATTTGACCAAGCATGAGGTCCTTCTCCTGGGACTGGTCTCTCCGTGTGACATGTCTATCTGTGATCATTCCAGTGACTTTGTGGTTGTTGAGATCCCACGTGGCACACACACACGGTCACCACCACGGAGGGGCATTGCGTTGTCCGAGTTGCCCCTCCTCCAGTTACATAAACTCACAGCCCTGCAGGCTTCCCACCTTCTTCCTGGAGTTTCTGTCTGTCCGTTTGGTCCTGCTCAGACGGCTCTTAGGAGAGCACAGTCCTCCAGCAGAACCTTTCTTAGCCGTTGAGCGAAACCGTGGGCTCCCACAGTCGTGGTGAGGCTGGCTCAGGGCCCGCAGGGTTTGCTCTGTCGTACTTGGAGCCCCTGTGCGTCCAGCCAACGCGATGGCCCCAACGAGGAGCTAAATGACTGGCCTGAAGGTGACCTCAGTGAGTGTTTTGGGGTTGAGATCTAAAGACCGTCTCTGCACAATAGTCCCAGCTTCGGAAGCTCCTGAAAGTCTGGAGTCCATGAGAATTTGAGGATCCATTTTGTATTTCCCCACTGGAATCTTCTGTGCAATCTCGGATCAAAACATTCGGGAATGGTAGCCGGGCACCACCCGCGTCTTCTGGCCTGAAAGCAGAGGAGGCCCTTGCTCACAGACGCAGTCAGCCACATGTCCCATGTCCTCCGCCTCCTCCCTCGCTCACCCCAGGTGAACAGAAACCCACTGCTCTGCCTTGGGTGTGGTGTCTTGCAAGCTTCTAAGACCCCCTGCTTCTTGGTCCTCTGCGTCGCACTGGAAGGTAGAAGAGAGGCTCTCAATTGTTATTAGGCCCTTTAACCAGGATGTCCCATGAAAGCATGACTCCAAGTTTTCAACGGCAAGAAACCACAGCTTCTGAGGTTTGAGGTTGTAATGGGTTTGGTTTTAGGGGTGTGTGTGTGTGTGTGTGTGTGTGTGTGAAAGAGACAGAGACCTGGTCGCACAGTGGTTACATGTTCACCGAAAGGTGGGTGGTGCAGGCCAGTAGGCACCTCTGTGGGATAAAAGATTAGAGCCAAGGACATCCTCTGGGGGCAGTCCTACCCCGTCTTATAGGGTCTCCACCCATGCTGTCACACACACAAAATACAAAGACTCGTCTCCAGGAATTGGCCCACAGAGGCAAGGAGAGGCATGACGTGTCCAAGGTCTGGGGGCCAGGTGGCAGGCCGGAGGTTCCTGTGGGTCTGCGCCTAAGAATCCAAAGATCGGGCAGCAGGAGGAGTGGGAGAGTTCTGGAGAAATGTCCTTTCGGTGCAGAGGCAGGACCCACCCCAGGAGGACCCCCCCGTTTTGAACGTCAGGCCTTCAGCTGAGAGGACGAGAACGATTGGATAAAGAAGTTCACCTTGCAGGTGCTGGAAGGGCGTCTTTATCTGAAATGAACGGTTCCATCACCTGGGGTAGCTGTCATGGCCACTGGGCTGGTGCTAGATCAGATACACAGCCGGTCACCCCCGTCAGAGAGCCCCAGATGGCGCGGAACTGGGCAGCCTGCTGACCAACGGCTTCTCAGCTCTCCATGTGCTAGAGGGAGCCCCAGTGGCCCCATCGGTTAAGCTTCGGGTTGCTATCCAAAAGGCCAGCACTTTGAACCCACCAGGCACTCCTTGGGAGGTAGATGGGTGACAGCGGCTGTAAAAATCTGCAGGCTCAGAGACCCCCTGCCCTCGCCCTCCTCGGTCCAACAGCAATGCTATGAGCCAGGGCAACCCAGTGCTGGTGGGTTTGCCGAGAGCCAACACAAACCTGTGTCTGAACCGGCAGCCAGACACCAGACCTGAACCAAGGTGGCGCCTGAAACTGACCATCTCACCGGTGGCCTGGGCCGGGGTGAGGTGTCCAGCTGGGATTTCATTCATGGGCACTGCCCATATATACAAGGAGGGACCATGCCAGCTCGTGAACTGATTGTCCAAGGGGGTCCAGAAGACAAGGCGGGCAGAGGGACCGGTGGCACATCCCCGGCCCCATGGTCACCCGGCTGACCGCCCCTGGTTCTCCTTGTCACAGACCCCCCCGAGTGGGTGCCGGACGAGGCCTGCGGCTTGTGCACCACCTGCAAAGCGCCCTTCACCGTCATCCGCCGGAAACACCACTGCCGGAGCTGCGGGAAGGTGGGTGGGTGCCGGGGGTCTCACAGCCCGAGGCCAGACTGCGTGCATCTCTCCGGCATGCAGAGCATGCGTGGGGAGGGTCCCTGTGCTGAGGCCCTGCAACTGCACCCCAGCCCACAGGGCGTTCATCCTCAAAGCCCATGGCTGGAACCCGCTACTTCCAAGCTGGGGTGGGAGAGGAGGCTGGAGGGGCCGAGTCAGATCTGCTGCCACCTTCAGGGAGCCCTAGTGGCACAGTGGGGTCAGGGTCTGGCTGTGAACGGCAAGGCTGGTGGTTCAAACCCACTGTCTGCTGCAGGGGAGAAAGCTGAGGCTGTTCTGCCTAGAAAATGTTTCCAGCCTCAGAAACCCTCGGCCAGTTCTCTCGGAGTCAGAATCAACCCGATGGCAGTGGGCTGGGCTGGTGCTTTGTTTATAGTCTGGGTTCAGCTCCTGGAACCAAGACCTGTGTCCCCGATCCAGCCCCACAGCCCACAGGTCAGCTCCGGGCAGACCCCATGCACGTCTAGAGGCCGCTTTGGAGGGGAGGCCAGAGGCAGGTGGGGCTGGGGTGGGAAATGGAGAGGCCCTGGGTGGCTGCAGGAAGCCCAGCACTCCCCCATCACCCCTTCCCCCCTTTCCTCTTCCAGATCTTCTGCTCCCGCTGCTCCTCGCACTCAGCCCCGCTGCCGCGCTACGGACAGATGAAGCCGGTCCGCGTGTGCACGCACTGCTACATGTTCCACGTGACTCCCTTCTACAGCGACAAGGCAGCCATCTGACCCGTGCCCGCCCCGCCTCAGGCAGCAGGGACTCTCGTTTCGGGGAAGGGGGGAGGCCCTGCCCTGCCCTGCCCTGGCACCCACCTCCTCCTGCCCCAGCTGCACCTCCTGGATGCCCATCACATCTCATCCACCGCTGCCGCTGCTACTGCTGCTGGGGCCACAGGGCTGCCCTCCCACCCACCCTGGGTGCCTGGTGGCTGCCCCTAGAGAGCTGGGTGTGGGGCCGCTGCACCCTGTCCCTGCTGCCTTGGGGTCCAGCCACTGTGACCCATGCACTGCTGGTGCCCTCACATGAGTTACAGGCAGCCCCGGGACCCCAATCTGGGAACAGGTGGGGGAGGGACACGCAGGGGCAGGTCCCGGCAGGGCTTCCCCCAGAGCTCTGGGAGGGACCGGCCCTCCTCATCCACACCTCATCCCCCGC